CGGTCGAATCTGACAAAAAAAACCTGACGGACAAACCTGACGGTCGAACCTGAAGGACGAACCTGACGGACAAACCTGACGGTCGAACCTGACGGACAAACCTGATGGTCGAACCTGACGGACAAACCTGATGGTCGAACCTGACGGACAAACCTGACGGACGAACCTGACGGACAAACCTGATGGTCGAACCTGACGGACAAACCTGACGGTCGAACCTGACGGACAAACCTGATGGTCGAACCTGACGGACAAACCTGACGGACGAACCTGACGGTCGAACCTGACGGACGGACCTGACGGTCGAACCTGACGGACAAACCAGACAGACGAACCTGACGGACAAAAAAACTCACACCTGGCCGCTAGGCCACCGGTTCCCACTTTGACTTTTCGATGCCGTTTTTCTCAATGAAGGAATTTTTTAAAAATTTTTTCGTTATTTTTATGGGATTCTGCACAAAATAAAGCAATAAAATTTTTCACCGCACGTGAGTATTTGCCGGCTAAACATGGTTCCCTTGTGAGAGAAAAATCAACAATAACCTTGAAAAACCTGAAAAAAATATGAAAAAAACTCTGAAAATCTAAAAAATCGGGTATTTTGTTCCCCCAATGCTCGTCGACATTATATTACGATAAAACAGATCTTGTATTAACCAAAATATAAAACAAAGCAGCTATGGAACGACTATAAAAATCAAGAAGAAAATTAAGAAAATCAACATATTGTCGGATTAAAAAAGTGACACCCGAAAATCTCGGAGACGGCGCGGAGGGGGCGGAGCGAAAACGGATACTGTAGATAACAAATGTATTTCTGTGAATTTAGTGGGATTTTCTGAACAAAATATTGATTTCTTGGTATGAAAATGATCGCTAGCAACTCTAGAATCTATTTTTCAGCAAAAAACTAAACTTAAACGCGAAATTAGCTCGAACGAGCCGAAATTCTGAAATATTACGTTTTTGCCGCACTTTTTCGTAGATCAAAAAAAAACAAAAGTTTTCAAATTCTCAGGTGTCACTTTTTTAATTCGACAATAGGACACCTAATTAATAACAGGCAAAATCAGTTATCACAACAAAATATAAAAACTAACAAAGTATATTTATCACATTGACGTCCTTCTCAAAAGTTGAACATCCCTTCCAGGTCATCGTCGTTGTTATCAGGATCGGGGGTTGATGGCATGACTGAAAATTTCAGATTTCTAAAAAAATCAAAACTATGTTTCCTAACCAAAATCCAATTTATCCAATTCTTCGAAAACGATATCCACCTCCTCCTGCTGATTGAGTAGCTCCGATGCGATGTCGGAAGTGCTGTTGAGAGGCTCTCGGGGTTCAGGATTACTGTAGGTCGAATCGGTTGTCACCTCTTCCTGTTTCACCACAGGAATGTCATTGTAAAGTGGCTCTTGGTAGGCTGGTGGTTGAGAAGAATAGTAGGATTGGAATTGAGTGAACTGTTGCATTGGTTGAAAGTCTGGAGGGAAATTCAAAATTTTGAATTTCAAGTTGAAGAAAATGTTACCTGGATAAGTTCCAATGAGAGGATCGTAGCCAAAAGTCACCGGTGGATAGATAATGTTTGGGTTGTCCCAGTCGAGCTGGAATAATTTGAAATTTGGATTACTGTAGTTCTGGACAATTTTCGGCGGGTTTTGCTGCGTTGGAATATCATAATCTTTAAAAAACTATTCTTCTCGTACGAAAAAATCGGAGATATGGAAGAGAAGCTGGTGGCCGTAGCCAAAGATCCCGAAACGACAACTACCGTAGACTACTGTACGTTTCAGAACCCAACGTTTCGAAACCACGAGTCGTGGTCCACGACGTTTCAGCACTTCTGCATAGTGGCTTTTGCACATCAGATATCAGGCTTTTGCATCAGGCTTTTGCACATCAGAGTATTGCTCATTTTAATTTGTTTTGATATGCATTTAATGTGCAAAAGCCACTATGCAAATTGCAGAAAATTTCTGAATCGTCGGGTTCTGAAACGTTCAGGAGTCCTACCGTAAAATTTACAACCAAAAAACTTTCATTATACTATTCCTAAGGATCATTTCAAGCTCCGCCCCTAATCTACAGTAATCCAGAAAGAGCCTCAATTCCAGTTCCTCTTGCTTGTTCCTTCCAGAATTCGTTCGTCTCGTTTCGTCAAAGCACCACCACACTTCCTGTGCCATAAAAAAATGGCATGTCGCCGTCGTCGTCAAATCGGAGAGTTTTTCCATTTCTTTTTCTCTCTCTGATCGTTTCAAGACCCGGAAAATGGAAGGGGCCTGTTCTGCTACTGCTGCCTCTCGCCCCCATCTCTCGCCGTCTGTTTCGCCCCTCGCGGCCCCCCGGGCGGCAGAGAGACACTCTCTGCATTACCCCGTCTTCTTCTTCTTTTTTTTCTTCTCCCCTTCCCGCCAACATCTATTTTTTTTTTTACAGCGTCTACTATCAATTATTTGCCTATTTTCTTACATTTTGCTGTGTTGCTGTCATCGGCGCCTCCTGAGAATAGGTATTCTGTGCTGTCAACACTTTTTTCGCCGACGATGAACTGTCATCATCATCATTTCCTCCATCATCGATTCCTCGTTTCATCGTCGCTCGAGCCGTTTTCTGAAAAAGAAATAGATGACGACACTGGTTTGGAATTTCTACATCAAGTCTAATCCGATCAGAAAGGCCGATGAGCCGCAGTTTAGAAGAGCAATGGGTGAAAGCTTCAGTCAGTTCAGCAGGATCGATTTCCTCTATTTTTGGAAGCCCAGTTGGAAATTTTTCGAACAACAAAAACTGACAAATAAGCTCTCAGAGCATATACACACGCTCATGATAAGGCTGGTTTCCTTCACATGGAAGAGCCATACTTAAAAAACCAGAATCCGGCTCGACGGCCTAGTCTTCTCCGTCCCGCCCGGGCCAGATGGGACGGAGGTTTTTTTGGAAAAATTTTGAAGTTTCCGAATTTTTTTTCCAAATTTTTGAAAAATATTTTACGGGATCGGAATTCTCGCATTTCCTATCTTTATATCAAAAACTCCCTTACAAATTCCTTAAACTTCTTGAGTCCAAACTCGGTCTGTATTAACGAATTCGATGAGCAATCGAAAATGTCCTCTTGCGATGCAGATGACGATAGTACAGCTGCGTCTGTTGGCTCCTCTTGAGCTGTCACTGTCTCACTGGTACCGCCCATCTGCTCTCGCTCTTCTTGTCGTTTGCGGAAGAAGTTCAAGCGGTCTGCAAAGTTTTTCAAAATTTTCATATAGTTAGAATTTCATCATTTTCTAGAAAAATCTATCGATCTTTTTCTAGTATATCTCTAATCCCAGTACAAATTTTCTTCGTAGTTCTAATCCCCTTCTTACTCAAAGTGAGCGCGTCTATCATCGTTCCTTCCGGCAGCTCTCCATAGTATACATCCTGTCGAATGAGCAAATTCCGGCACGCTGAAACACATTTTCTCGTCTATTTTCTTTTTTTTCCTTTGAGATCTCACCAAGTTCGCACTCTGTCTGATTGGCATGATTCCGGAAAAGTGTCGTTGTGGTGAATGCGCTGAAAATGTAATGTATAGTTGGAGGGAGAGTGGCGACGGCCGCTCAGATTGAGCCAATTTGAAATTGAAAAGAAAGGAGGCAATTTTGACGATGAGGTTTTTCATTTTGAGCTCCTTCGTGAGGAGAGAAGAGCCCAAACAAACAAAGCTCATTTCAATGTCCTTTTCCCTTTCAGGCACAATTTTTCTTTGAATTTTCTAGAGGTTTATAGGCTCTGAAACTGAAAATCTGGGCGGCGAAATATCAGTAGGTAAAAAATCAAGGATATTCTTAGGTTACGGTAGTTGTCGTAGTGGGACCTTCGGCCACAGCTCCGATTTTTTTGAACCAAAATATGAAACTAACTCTTACCGCTCACAAGCCTTGCAGGTGATCGTTCGAACGCCCTCCTGCTTATGAAATCGCATGTAGTGAACTTGAAGATCCATCGTTCCTTGTCGAATCTCTCCACAGTAAAAGCATTGTTTCGGAGCGTTGCTGGAATTTTTTTTTTCGTCAAAAACTGAATTTCTATATTGAGCTGTAAACTTTCCTCAGATTCTTTTTTGGACCCCTATGCGCCTTTAAAGGAGCATACCTGGGTTTTGGCTCATTTTAAAGCGCTAAAAACGACAAATTCAGATTTTTTAAGAAAAAAAGACGTTTTTCAAGGTTGACAATTTACCTTTAATAAAGTTATCAAAATATCAAAAAAAAAGTTCAAAAAACCAACACTATACCTGTGAAGTTCCGAATGACGAGCAGCATAATACTGATTATGAAAGTGTTGATCACATTTCGTGCACGAATACTTGTATTTTCCTCTCTTATCCTTCAAAAACCAAAACATTATATCTAAATTCTTTATCCTCACCACAGTATAATTCATGCCTGGGACCTCTTTGGTGTTTTTGATCGTTTGCTCGCGGAGCACATTTTCCCCGGGATACTTTGGCTCGGGAATTGTGACATTTTCTATCTTTTGGTGTAGTTCCTGATGAGATTTTTCAAGTAAAATTCGCTAAAAGAAGGAAAAAACTCACCAAACTCTCTCTGGAAAACTTCGGATACTTGGTCTTATCATGCATTTTCTGATGCTTCCGCCTCTCGTTTTCCGTCAGAGATATGCTAAAACCGTGTTCTCTCTGATACCAAAGATTAAATCCACTCACTGATTACATCCTGATTCCAGACACCGACTCTCCTGACGCAAATGGGATCCCCGGAGATGAGCAGTCAACGTGGCGTGCGTTTTGTACGGACGTTTACACACACAACAGAAGTAACGGCCATCGGCTAGGATGTCCTGGAAAACGAAAGAATGGTGAGTTTCAAGGAAATCTGGAGCTCACAATATTATTAAACATTTCCCGGGCATTTTTCACTACCAAAGTGTCACCGTAGTAGTGCATGGGACCACTTGACGGAGCTCGTGGCTCACAGATCAAAGGGCCACTTTTGACAACTTCTGTGGGGGCTTGAGAAGTTTCTGGCTTTGTCTCAGCCGCTGGTGGATTCAGACAGTAATACTTTTTCCCATTCTCCGATACAAGTGAGTGAGACGACGATGAGGTGTCGCTGATTTCAAACGTCTCGCTCATTGTCGATCGTCATAAGTCGAGACCTGTTTTACTGCCTGCAGATGCTACACTGTTACGTGAAAATTTCTATTGACTGGAAGTGAGATAGAGAGCAACGTATTCCTCGAAAAATGACGACTCAACAAATTCTTCTCATCTTGCTCATTCATGTTTTCAAAGCAAGTTTTGACCTCTTTTCGGGATGATAACTCAGATTTTTCTTTTCAATTTTAGATAGTTGCTCCAGTTACAGTTTTAGTTTCTGCAATGTGTGCCAAAAAAGGATCCAATGAGAAAACGACTAGAAGCGAGAAACAAGTCCATGTCCTTCAGCTCAAACCGGATTCTATTACTGCTACTAAAAAATCTGTGAAGCAACAGGCGAAAAGCTCAAAAAAAGCTGTAATGCCGAAACTAGAAAAGAAGAATCCACCGACGGTTGTTGTCGTAGCCAACCGTAATTAGCGAAATCACTGTTTAATTATTCAGATTTTTAAATTTTCAGCGGATGGACATAAATCAATCGAAGAAGCGGTTGCCGAAGGTCTTATTCTCGACCCAGCTCCGTTTAAGATTGAAGGAAATCTTGATGCGGTAGGTTTTTAATTCATTTTTCAATTAAAAAAAAAAACGAAAAAAATTGATAAATTCACATTTTTTATCGGGATTACGGTAGATGATGAAGTGTGCATAAAGTGTGTTTGCGTACTTGTGTACCGTACTCAGCCACTTTTTTCGATTTTTTTTCAACATTTTTTTTCTGAAAAAAATTTTTCCAGCGACCTCCGAAACATCCAAAGTTTGGAGACGAGCTTCAGCGTATAATCGAGAATCCGCACTCGAGTTCCAGTGAAACTTCCGTCTCCAGCTGTAGCGATGAGTGTAACGAGAGAAAGCGGGTTAGTGTGGTTTAGCCTAAATTCTTAAATTTTCTGAAATTTTTTCTGCCAAAAAACTCTTTATAGGTTGTTGTTCATCCATCCCAGTGTAAAGTTTTCGAGACCACCAATCTAGTCACTGACCCGATGAGCTCTCATTGAACTTTCTTTTCTTTTTCTCTTTTTAAAAAGAAACCCATTTCTTGACCCTTTTCTCTGCACTCTCTCTTCCTCTCATTCTGTCCAATTAAAGAAGCGAGCGAAGACGTCCAAGTTTCGGAATCCTCGCGGCGCGTCGTCTTTGTTTCTGTGCCGCCCGTTAGCTCTCTGTGCTCCGAAAAATCAATTGAAATGCTCGTCTTCTGTATTCTGGAGGTTGTTCTGTTCGTCGTCGACGAGGTGAGTGGTGTATATAAACACACGGTCAAAGGGGAAGAATTGTCAAACATTTGCGGATAGAAAGAGAGTGTGGGCGCCACTGGCGGTAATAGGAGCGACGACTGATATAGAGAAAGGAGACGCAAAGACGTGGGGTGAGGAATCATTTGAATCGGTTGGATTGTTGTACGCACCGCGCGCTTCGATTTCAAATACAAACAATTCGGGAGAGAGGGTACCGTAGTCCTTCCTTCCTTCTTCTCGCGAACTGTGATGATGTTTTGTTTACGCAGACTTTCGCCTCTCTCGACCAGACAGACAAACATATTCAAATTGTTATAGTATACTAGTTGTCGGTGAATAGAGGTAACCTTGGAAAGAAAGTGTTTTCTATTTGAATTTCCTGTTTGAAGTGCGTGGAATGAGTCAAACATAGATAGTTCTTACCAATGGCACCATTTTGAATGACAGCAATTTTTTGAAACGATCTGGCAACGAATCGGCTATAAAGTAACCCCTAGAGAGCATCGGATGGAAAAAATACGACGACAAGAATATAGAAAGAAGGGTGTTTGTGGCGATGTCGGTCGACGAGCCGATGCACGACGAGCTGCTCATCGAACACTGGCGTTTTCCGCTTTCTAAGTCTCTTCACTCTCTCTAAAATTCTCTCTTTTTTCTGTGGCCAACGGGGAACTAAAAGAAAACGCCCCGAAGGAAAGAGGAAAATTGGGAGGAAAAGAGGAGGAAGATTGTATTGAGGTGTATATGTGTGTGCTGGGAATCGGGCCGAAAGATCTAGACGGAGAAGCAGATGGTGAAAGAAAGCTGCGTCTCTTCATCTCTAAATTTCTGAATAGCCAGTCACATCGGACATGACGGTGCGAGTGCGACCCACAGCGTCGGCATACGAGCGAGATAGAACAACGAACGTAGAGGGAATAGACGGTGAGAGAAGTAGAGAGGAGAACGGTGTGAAGAGACGCAGAGAAAGAGAAGGTTGGAGAGAGAGAAAGGAGGCCTCGGCCCCTTCTTCCTCTCCGTTCTTTTCGCCTCTCTCGTGTATGCATTCAGCAGTCAGTCAGTCTGCATCTATCCATACTTACCACCACAACCAACCAACCAGCCAATAGCACAGCTGGGACACAGGAGACACGGCCAAAAGTTACACTTGTTTTTCGCCATTTTCTCCACACACTCGTTTCTCCTCTTGTTTTCCTTATTTTTCCATTTTCCCCCACACCATACAACCATCATCATCATCATCGTCGCGGTTGTCATCATCATTTTTTTGCCAGTCCCATTAGGCCCCACTCAGTTTTTCTGCCTCCTATTTCGAATCGATTCGACACCGAAAAGGTCAAGTGTCAGGTGCTCAGGCCCCTCTCTCTTGTCCTTCCCAAACCCTGTATTTTTGTCTTTTTTCCGTTTTTTCCCAGCTACAGTAGGCTTTATACTCTTTTTAGAGAATCGATTAATAGGTTTTTTAAAGACAAAAATCTGCAAAGTTTTGTCCGAATGTCTGAGGAAACTGAACATTTCGTAATTCAAAATTTTTCCGATTCGAAAAGACTGGTTTTGGCGGGAAAATCGATTTTCTTCCGGAAATTTTGAATTCTGTCACGAAATTTGCAGTTTTGAAAACTTTTTCTAGGCATCGTTATTTTCAAAAAAATCAATTTTCTGAAACAATTAGTAAGGTTGTTTTCATGAGAAAATAAAGATATATATTTTTCTATTTTTAGATGGTGGGCGGGGCTTATGTCCTTCAGCAAAATCCTTTAAAGATCATGTATTATGCTTGTCTGAGAAAAAAAAGGTTGAGACGCAGAGAAAATGTGTATGCGTCTCCACCGTTTGTGTGCTATTTAGGCTCTCCGCTTCGATATCGCTACCGTATTCAGACTGCAAAAAATACTCTCTAACCTTTTTTTTTCTCAGACAAGCATAATATTTTTCATAATTCTGGCCTAATTTTTTTCTCGATTTTCTGATAGGTTTCATTATTGTTTGTCGTATTTTTGAAGAAAAAATGTTTAAAATCAACATTTTCAAGATTTTCACCAGGAATTGATTTCTTATTCTTTCATCTTCTTTTCACCTCTCCAGCTACCGTAATCCATTACCCGTGACCTCGACTCTTTCTCTCTTCCCAGTCAACCGCTCGTAAATTTTGTTTCCCTCCCCGACATCCGAAAAGTATATCCTGATCGATCTTCTCTCTGATTTGATCTCTCCGTCCGTATCACTGTTGTCGTAGCAATCAATTTTGATTTTGAAAATTCGGACCACTCGATTTTCAAATCGGCGAGGGTGGCGACGAGACTCTACAGTTTTTTTAGGTCATGTTTGATGAGGAGGCTATCGAATAGAATAGGGAAAAAAGACAAAGAGACAGACGATTAACGTTTTTTTTTCAAAATCTACCACTCCATTTTCAATGTCTTTTGTCTTGTTTCTGTTTCTGTTTTTGGCGGGAGAATTTTTTGAAAAATCTGATTTAAATCCGAAGATTTCAACTAGGGATTTTCGGAACGAATTTCGAAAATTTCCGATTTTTTTTCGAAACTTGATCGTTTTCGGAATACGGTATTTTAAAGGCGCACACAAAAAGTTTTCTTGCGGGTCTCGAGCGGAATTACTTTTTTTGCGTTTTCGAAATCTGTTTTTGTCAATTTTTCATCAAATTTCCGAGCTTTTTTGATGAAAAAGTGTGATTTTTACTCTGAAATTCGGATTTTCAAAAATTCGGAAGATTCTGAATTTCGAATTTCCGATTTTCACTATATTCTTTTCTATTATTTTTTTTCGATTCAAATTACTTTTCTGCTGAAAATTATGAATTTTTCATCTATTTAAGGCTATTTTTTGACATAATTGTGTATGACGTGGCCTAGTTTATCGATTTTCTGCTATTTGTTCTTTTTTGAACTTTTCCGATAGACACTGTATCTCTTTTGGCTCTTTTTTGTTCTATTTTTCCATCTATTTTTCTCCTCTCTCATTCGCCCCCCACACAAGGCAAGCAGCCTTTCAAATAATTGTTTTGGAGCAGTTTTGACCGAGTGAAAGAGAAAAAAAATAGAAGAGGAGAGACCACAAAACGCAGATAGTAAGAGTAAAAAGAGCTACTGCTCTAGGGGGCGTTGTTGCTATTTGTGTGTGTTTGTGAAAGAAGAAGCAGAAACGAGAGTATGCATGCATGTGACATAGAAGAGCCGCTCGTAGAATTCTTCGTGCTTCTTCCATATTTCTCTCTTTTTCCATTCGAGGGCTGGCTCAATGCCAAGTTGTGTGTCCGCCTTCTTCTTCTTCTTCGCTCGATTGCTTCTCCTTGTGTGAGAGATGCCTACTGTAGGGAGTGTGTCTGCGTCTCTTCACTCTCTCTCACATTCAAATCGAGATGTTGGGTGACGACAACCGACGATGTCGTTATCAGTTGTATTTCTTCTCTCCTTCCCTTCTTCTTCTTCTCTTCTCATTCGCAATCTATGTGTATATTCATTCTTCTTCACGCCCATCAACGTTTTTTTGAGTTGAATTGAATTGCATTCGAATCGATCATAGTCGCCCGATAAAATAAGAATGAGAAAGGAGGAAGAAGAAGATGGAAAGGCGTTGAAATATTCTTCTTTTCTTTTTTTGAGAGCGATTTGACCTATTTTTGGTTCTGGTTTCTCGATAAGATGTATTTTTCGGTCGATTCTATTTATCAACACCATTTTTGTGATCTTCATGGATTTTTTGAGAATTTCAACTATTTTAGAGCCCTTTTCTTTAAGTTTTGTGAATTCTGTGGGAAATCAAATTTTTTCGAGTTCTCAATTGAGAACTCGAAAAAATAGAGCGCGTTTGCATTCTTTACAGTTTTTCCCGGTTTTTCCAAATATTTTCTCGCTTTGACGCTGGAATTAGATGCTTAAAATTACTTGGAATCTGGGAATTAGACGCTTAGACGTTGGTCCTTTAGACGCTGGAATAGGAATACTGTAACCTCTAGTTTCTATTATCGCTGTCTAGAAAAAAAGGCTGAGTGTGGATATTTCGTTAAATTTTGTTTAAATGCGCAAGTGCGAAAACTACCGTACTTTGAGAACATTTTACATTTCTTTTCACCATTTCCTCAATTTTCTGACAATTTTCACCGTTTTTTTTTAATGATGAAAACCATTGAAAAAAACGGTAAAAATCGTCGAAAATTTGTGAGAGAAATCCAAATTTCATATGTTCTCAATGGAGCGCGTTTGCATATACCGCTGTTTTGTCTCTTCATTTTCCGTTATTTTCTGATTTCGGGCGATTTTTTCCAGTATTTTATTTCCAAAATTAGCTCTTCTCAATCAAGTTTCTATGACAGAAGCTCATATGTTTCGAAATTAGCGAAGTTGCGGCTAATTTCGTCCGAACATTCGATTTTTCTTTGCAAGAAAACGTTTAGAAGTCGTTTTCTCTCTCCTATTTACCTTTCTTAGTTGCCCATCCTCGGAAAAATTTTCAAAATTTTCGTCGTCTCAATTTCGATTTTTTTTCTATTTGTTCAATTTGGCTCGATTCGATTCGACTCCTCAACCCCAATAAAATCGATAGTTACGATGCCGCGCGCGCCGTTTAATCTCTCTTTTTATTTCTGATTTTCACCTAATTCCTCTCTTTTTTTCAGTGTCTCTCCTCCACAAATGCACAACGTCTAACTCACAAAAACCAAAGTTATCATCATCGTTTTCGTGAGAGCGGATATTTGAAATCAGATCAAAATGACAAAAGAAATGGTCGGAGGATGCTGCGTTTGTGCAGACGATAATGGCTGGGTAGACAATCCACTGATTTACTGTGACGGAGAGAATTGTGAAGTCGCTGTACATCAAGGTGAGGGTTTTAAGGTTCCAATTCGATGTTAATATCCACTTTTCAGGATGTTACGGAATTCAAGAAGTGCCCGAAGGCGAATGGTTTTGTGCGAAATGTACGAAAGCGGCGGGGATGTTGCCAGGAAGTATAAACGACGAAACGTTTTGTTGTCAATTGTGTCCGTTTGATCATGGCGCATTGAAAAGGACGGATCGAAAAGATGGATGGGCTCATGTGATATGTGCATTGTATATCCCAGAAGTCAGATTTGGAAATGTTCATAGTATGGAACCAGTGATATTGTCCGATGTGCCTCTTGATAAGTGAGTTATTTTTCTTTTTTTTTTGAGATGGAACGTTTTAAATATTTGCGAATTTGCAGATTCCAAAAAGTCTGCTACATTTGTAAAGAAGCCGATCGACCTAATGATGCTAAAAAAGGGGCATGTATGACATGTAATATTCACAAATGCAAGAAAAGCTTCCACGTCACATGTGCACAACGACAAGGACTGCTGTGTGAAGAGGGAGCCGTTAGTAGGAATGTGAAGTATTGTGGATATTGTGAACCCCATTTGGCGATAGCGGTAAGTGGAATTTTGACATCTGCTAGCCCCCATAAGATTCTAATTACTATGGTCCCACTATAAAGAACAGGTGTAGGTAGAAATAGAAGCCTGCGTCTCTCGAAACACTGAGAATAGAAGTCTCTTTGGATATCTGCGTCTAGAGATCTCTGAACGTCCGGGAATATATTTGAAGAAGAAGAAGAAGAAGTGGTCGAAAAGGGGAGGAGAAAGGGACCCCCGCGTGCTTCCACACCATTCAGCACAAAACGAATGGATGGAGTAGAAAAGTGAAGAAGAAATAGGAGATGTGGAGATAGAGAGGGTAGACGACGAGAGATAGACGAAGAAGAAGAAGAAGAAGGAAAGGGGCCTGACTGAGTAGTGTGACAACGACAAATAGTGCTCCGGGGGGCGCGTAGTTGCGCAAAAGGAAGGATATAGATGGAGAGACGCAGACAGAGAAACGAACAAATTGGCGGTTGGGGGGCCTTGTTGCTGTGCTCCGGACACTGCTTTCTCTCTCTCTCTCATGTAACATCTAACTTTTTCTCTGTTTCTCTCTTCGTCTCTCTACAATATCATAAGCCACGGCACTGCGTCTACACACACAAGGTCTTCTTCTTCTTCATTTTTATCCGCCGCCGGGGCCCTACCGCCGTCCCCTTCTGTTGTTTGGCCTGCGTCTCGGTGTTTCTCGTCCCAGCTTCTTCTTCTTCTCCACACTTCTTTCTCTTTGTCCCTTTTTCTCTCTCTTTTCAACCCGATTGAGAGACGAAAAAGAGACACACAACACCACCATTTCCTTCTTCATTCCCTTGTGCTTCATTTCTATTTTTTTGTTGCCCTCCTTTGAAATTTTATCGTTTTCCTCCTTTTCCGCAAATTCAGAATTCAACGCCTTCTCCTGCGCCTCTTTTCCTTCTTTTCTCGCTCCCAGATTCGTTTTCTTCGCAGGTGGCATTGCTCTTTTATTTGATCAGATGCAAAAAGATTGTTTTCTCAAAAATCCATTTGGCTACAGTAATCCATCATTTCGTCACCACACTTGTCACTTTTATCAACACCATCATTCCGGTTTTATGGTGATAAAGCTTTTTTTTATCAATTCGAAGAAGTATTCCATCTTCGTCGACAGTGATATCTCCGCTGCGCCGTTCGGTCGTCTAAGTCTCTTTGTCTCTCTCGCTATCTCGTTTTCCTTTGGACTTTTAATCAATCATGTGCCTTCTTCGCACCTATTCCCCCAATTTTTTGGTCTGGTCAGAGAGAGAGAGGGAGAGTGAGACAGTTAGTGCAAAGTTGAGCGCCTCCCGATCCCCGCCGTGTCTCCCGTCGTCGTCCTCCGCAGGAATCGGATCGTCGTCATCACCTCTCCTTCCTCTTTTTTGAAAACACACACTGCGCTTGCAACTTTTCCTAGGTTTTGTCTGTTTCGATCACACTATTTCTCTCTCTTCTTCTCGCTCCCCCATCCCCAACACACAATCATCATCGTCGGAGGAAGAATAGTGTCCCCCGATATGTTTGTCTGCACGTCTCACCGCTTCTCTTCCGATCACTCACTATATCGTGTCGCTTCTCACCGTCTATCTCTATAGAGATTCTTCCATCGCGTCCCCCCGATGGATGACTGGTGAATGATCGGTGTCCTCTCCCTCCTCTGTCTCACTCTTGGCCCCCGGCCGAAGACGGCGCTGTTGCTGCTTTTGTGACTACATCGGAAGAGAGAGAAAGGGGCAGAGAGACGCAGTGAAAGAAAAAGGAAAAGGCTTTGTGTGGCTGGTGGTTGTGGAAGGGCTGTGTGTGTACGTGTCTATGCGCGTAGAGATGTGTATTATGTGTCGTCGGGGGTCTCCAAAGCATCGCACAGCAGCATCATCGAAAATGCGTAAGACTCTCTGCGTCTCACTACAATGCCGCGCAATCGCCAAGAAACACGAGACGAAGCGTGGAGAAGTAGAGGAAGAAGACCTTAACGAAATAGTTGAACATGAGAAGAGAATCCAGGGAAACAACGATCAGATGGGGAGAAGAAAAAGGGGTGGAGAAGAGGGATGGATGGTCACATACATATGCTCTCTCGTTTTCTCTCGAACCCTCTCGCTATCTAACTCTATCGTACCCAATACAACCACACAGAGTCATTCACACACACACGGGCGCGCACGGTTTTGTTGGCTGCTTGCCAATAATAACGAAATAGATAGGAGAGAAAAAAAGAGAGAACGAATACACCTATTCTCTCCTGATTTCATTTTCTTCTTCCTTGTCTCCTTCGTCTCATATCAAACTGTCTCTTCGTTATCATAGCATCTCATCTTTTATCAAAAAGGTCTAACCCTGTCGTGATCCTTTTTTGGGAAGTTCAAAACCACAACAATGGGCGGAGCTTGGAGATTTTGATGGTTTCCAAACTTTCGAATTGGGTCGCGCCCACTTTTGTAGAATTCAGAATCTAGAAGAAATTATTCAACTAGATTGTGATACCTTTTCCTGAATTTTCGAACTTTCAAATTTCAAGATTTTGATTTTTTGAGACTTTCGATTTTCAGGTTCTTCTTCCAATTTTTATTTTGAAAAGATCCTAATTCTGAAAAAACATTTTTTCGATGATTTAGATAGCTAAGCTCCGCCCATTTTCGTTTTTTTTTGAAATTGAGAACCATTTCTCGTTCTGCAATACTCTATTTTTAAAATTTTTGTGAAATTGGAATTCTGAAAGTTTTAGATTCTCCAACTCTGTTTTACTTTCGTTTTGCAAATCAGAATTTTTTCATTTTACAGTATAATAAGAATTCTGGAAACTACAAAAAACCATTTTTTGTCAAAAAATGCCGTAATCTTTCAAGATTCAATATATAAGCTCCGCCCCTTTTCCTGTCTCCAGAATGAGTAATAACGGAGAATCGCCGTTGAAATTGGGACTTTTCGCCTGTTCCTCTATCTCTCAGCTTATCTTATTTTTTGATCGAAATATTGTGTCTCATGAAGCCTCCACCAATTCTTCTTCGTTTTTCATCTACTTCATCTCTCTTTTTCCCTGAATATATGAGATGATGAAAGAAAAAGAAAGAAGAAGAACTGGGTCATTGTGAAGTCTCTCTGTCTCTCAAGTTCTGCGTCTCTTTTCTAATTCTCGTGTCTCAACTGTTTTCTCGCGTGCTTCTTCCCGATTCTTCTTCTTCTCCTCTTCTTCCTTTTCGTCTATCTCTCTGCCACTCTCTTCAGAATAGAGTACTCTCTCACCTATACCGCGCGACCAACATAAATTCGAAGCCTTTCCTCTCCTCTATTTTGACCTTTTGATATCCAAATTCTCAATCAAAATAGTTTCAGAAGACGATCCTGCGATCAAGATCATCCCAGCGTGCCCACCGATCCTTCAAAAGCTCAAAGCTCCGGAAAAGCATAAGAAGAACGCGCCCACCCCGACGGTTCTTCTCACACCACCACCTCCTCTTCCCCCGGTGCCAAAGGTGACACCTATGCTCGCCGATCCCCTACCAATTCGGCCGCCACCAAATCAAGTGAACGGAATTAGTTCAACAGTAGAAGAGAGGACTTCTGGAATCTTCGCTCCACCAACTACTTTCTCACCCCCTCTGACAACGTCCAGTAGGTCGTCAGTTGCGCCGGATCCAATAGTGGAAAAGCCCAAAAATAGTTTTTCATCGGGACCGTTGATTCCATCGACGGTACAATCCACTGCTACCACGTCTTCTGAAAAAGCAGCAATGGCAAACGGAAGTACGCTTCCATCATCGTCAGCCGAAACCACTGTTGGTAGTCATTGTTTGCAACAGTTGCATATTCAGTCAGCAGCTGCAGCCGCTGGAATCGCACCACAAAACGATCTGAATGGTTATCCAGGACCCAGGGAACTTTCTAGTTTTATGGTGAGTTTTTGAAATTTTGAATTTTTTTAATGTTTTCATCAAGTTGCAGCACGAAATACCGGCTCGAAACACGACAAGTGTCGCCAGTTTACTTCCACCAAATGCTGCAGACTTCCATTTGAATGGAAGTGGAGATGAGGAAAAGACAGTGAAAGCAGTGCTGACGGCTCCACTCGCCAAAGCGAAACGAATGCGGGATTCGAAGAATGATCATCTCGTTGATAAGACGAATAAAAGGCCCCGTGCGAACGGTGGAACGGTTGGTAAATCGGCAAGCATGCAGCGACTAATGAACCTCGTGCAACCAGTTGTATCAGAAGTCGTCACGGATTTCCAGAGAGACCGAGTAGCTGATAGGACAGCGGCAGAGCGGAGAGCAGCAGTGGCACAATCGCAACCATCAACATCGACGAATGGAGTTGTTACAGCACCACCAGTACCAAATCCAGTGGAGCCAATGTTGAATCTGACGATACCACCTCCAACTCATCAGAGCAATGGTGTCGCACCTCCGAACATCCCTCCGTCCCAGATTCCAGGACCTAGTACAAGTAATGAAGCTCCTGTGAATGGAGTCTCTCCATCACAACTGCCTCATCGCTTAAATACTACTCCGTCGTTCATGGAACAGCTTCTGGAGAGGCAATGGGATCAAGGATCGACGCTGTTCATTTCGAATGCGTCATTCGATGTGGCACAACTCATGAGTTGTCTCTTCCAGCTGAAATCTGAAAATAATCGTCTGGAAGAGAATCTAAGTGTTCTTCGAAAGCGACGAGATCATTTATTCGCGCTGAATGCACGGCTAGCAGAAGTGAATACGTTGGATTTGGCGAGAAAACGAGAAGCATCGCTTCCTGATCTTCCGTTGGTTCCCAAAACCGAAATTCACAAACAGGAGCACGTTCCAACCAGTGTCCCACTTCCAGCCAATCACAGCAGTGTTTTGTTTGAAGATGCCAAGCCACCAAAGTCACACAAGAAGGCCACCGTTCATCAAACTCCAATTGCTCATCCAGTTCCATTGACCACTTCGGCCGTTCTTCCATCAAGCACCCCAAGTGCGATGTCGAGTGCGAATATTCAAAGCGCTAGGTAAGAAAACGGGATTACGCTATCTTCTAATTGATTTTCCTTTTGCAGAGCTACACCATCAACTGCTGGAGTTCCATTGGCAGCGAACCCGATCATGACTGCCGTCACAGCAGCCAATGAACTGGCCGCATTGAGCCCGGATCGTGTTGCCAATCATACTCAAGCGATCTTGAGTATGTCCCGCTTCATGCAGCCCGGAATGGTAAGGATTTTTAGAATTCTTCAATTACCGTAAAACCTGTAGAAGAGCCCTCTTGTTGGCTCCCTTCCAAAGATATAAAAAGCTGTAAACGGATAAATTGTTTATCATGTTATCAGAAGTGTTCTGTTAGTTGATACATTTTTTATATCTTCCAAAGGAGCCATGATGAATTGGCTCAAACTTGACAAAATTGGGTGCCTTGAAACATGAAAATCTTTTTACTTCAATTGTTTCCAGGACGCCAACGTTGCTGCCCAACTCCAGATGCTCAGCACGTTACAACAAGGCATGAACCAATCGAACCTCTTCTCGAGAATGCTCACCAATCCAACGATGGCTGGGCTCGCGAGCATGCTCAACGGAGGACTCCAACAGAACGCTGTCGTTGCTCAGCAACAACAACATCCACTTCCGACGATACCATCCACATCTGCAACTCCAAATGGAAAGTAGACGTCACGTCTTCTTCTTCACGAAATTCTTATCCCCAAAAAACCTCATGAAATTGTCGAGTATCCCCTACCCCAATACCTCAAACCTCCTCAAATTTCCCTCAATATATCGGTTTATTATGATTCTTTGTTTCCCCTTTTCTCACAACACTCTTCTCATTCTCGATCCCAAACCCGGTTTTTTTTCGATTCACTCCTCCAATTGTTTCGCTTAAAATTGTACAGCCACCCCCAATATTTTTTGGCTGAAAATTTTCTTATTTTTTCCAAACGGGTCATTCAAAAATTCTCTTTGGAGTGCATTTGCACCATTTTTTCTGTCGCAATCAAGTACCATTTAATCTGTAATAAAATAATCCTCACCTCCTCATTACTTGTGCCTCATTTCAAAACATTTGTTTCTTGTTTTTCATTCACTCTCTCTCCCCAATTCTCAGTGTCTTCTTACCTCTTTTCTCTCTGATTTGCATTCGATATTTATTATTTTACACCTTGTTTCCCTTCTCTATTTTTACATATTCCATTTGATCTATTTTGAAAACCCAAAAAAATAATGAAAATGATTAAAATTAATAGTTTTTCAAACACATCAGAAGAGAAAACAATGAAAAGTACAACAAAAAAGAGTCAATTCGACTTCAAAACGAGGCGCTTCTTCGGCAACGAGTCGCCCATTCCATCGGTGTCTCGGACGCCGGCTCCATAGGTGATGATTGCGATGAAGCCCTGGTTATCTGGGGCAGTTCTGATGAGGTCTGGATGCGTTTTCAGGCGATCGTTCATCTGGAAATTCTTTTTTTAAAATTAAGTTCTGACCATTTCGAGAAATCTTCACTGCAGATTTTCGCCTTTGATTTCGATGGATTTAGTCTTATTTTAGTGGTAAATTCGAACGAATTCGATCGAATTTTTTAAAATTCCGACTATTTCGTTTCGACCGCGGTCGACCATTTTCGGAATCAAATTCGAAAAATTTCTGGATTCCAGTACGTTAAAGGCGTACGCGAATAGTTTCCTTGTGAGTATCGAGCGGAATGACTTTTGCGTTAGCGAATTTTTTTGTCAAATTTTCATCAAGATTTCGATCTTTTGTGATAGGAAGGCGAGAATTTTAAATTAAAATCGTTGAAAATTACGAAATGTTGACATTCGGTAAAATTCCGAAAATGCCTTTTTTTTGAATTGCTCACCTCTACAAGAGTCCCACGAACACCGGCTCTCACCACATGCTCCGTCCCATCTTTACACTTGAAAGTGCACAATTTTGAGTCGGTTTGAAGAATTAGGGCTCCCTTTAATTAGCATAATGAGAGAAGATAATTAATTAGGGAATTAGGGAATTACCTTCTTCCCTTTTCCAGACACTTGATTCGTTGACCGATCGGCGCCGTGCTTTTTTGTGCTTCCAAAGTCAACAGAGACGACTTCACTGTCGGGAATCTGAATTATATAATTTTTTCGTGGCGATGCCCTGCGAAGTTTTGAGCTGTGCGCCTTTAAAAGTACTGTATATTTTTTCAATTTGAAAGTTTTAAAAAAGTTGGCCGGTCATTTTTTCACAATTATTGTTTATTTGGCTAATTGCTAATTGGGCTGACAGTCAGAAAGTCTCAATTTCGACCCTAAGCATAGTGATTTTTTCCAATTTTTGCCACGTGGCTTACACTTCTCAAAACGACGACAGTGACACCACTCGGATGATGAAGATATGCAATATTATCGTAAAGTTCCGAACTCCGCCTTGAGTAGATTCGATCTGCTACTGATGCATACGAGAAGGACATCTGGAAAACTGGAAATCCAGAGAAATCTTGAAATTTTAAGAAGTAAAGAAATCTGAAATATTCTACAAGATTCGAGATTTTCAAAGTCATTGAAAAACAAAGAAAGCTTCATGAAAACCAGTGGGATGTAGAGGCGAAATATGAAGGACAATTGTAATTTTTTAAGGGGTTTTTGGCCGCAATCGAACTGGTATCTAGAATTTGGGAGGAGACAAGAAAAAGAAATGAAACATAACTGACTTAGAATGAACTGAGTTACTGGTAGGGGGAGGGGTTTATTGCTACAGTGAATATATGTATCCTACTTTTCTTTCAAAAATATTAGCAATGGAGCGCATTTACATATTCAAGAAAATCACATAATAGAACAGGCTTCGGTGGCGGCAGCAGCATCGGCGACCTTCGGAAGACCGCTTTCATCGATTTGCCATCCATCTGGGAGTGCCCCGACAAGCTCTTTTGGTGGGTAACCGTACTGTTGGAGCTCGACGAGCAATTTTCCCAATTTTTCAAAGTGTTCGACTTGTGCGGAACTTGGATTTGGTTCTTCAGCTGGTGCTGGTTCTGTCGCTGCTTCGGGAAGTCGAACTTCCACATTTTCTGGTTGATTTTCGAATTCTGTGCAGATTTTTCCGAGAACCTGGAAAAAGATTTAAAGTAGGAATACAATCATTTTGGCGTTTTGGATCAGTTTCGGAAAAATCGTCAATTTGCAATCCGGTTTCTATTTTGGACTAATTTTTTATCAGTCTCAAAAACTTTTTTTTTGAAAATCCCTATTATTTTAGTACGAAAAATTCGAGCTGTGAAAGAGAAGCTCCGAAGGTCGAAGGTCCCAAAACGACAACTACCGTAACCTTAAATATTCTTATTTTCTGTATTAATTTCTTTTCCTTTTTCTTCACTGTTTATCATCGATTTTTTTGTTATTTTTATACGGAAACATTAACCGAAAACGCCCGAAAATCGAGAAGGTTACGGTAGTTGTCTATGTGGAATTTTCGGCCACGGTCACCGACGTTTCTCTTCTAAAGCATCTATTTTTTCGTACCAGAATAATAGTGTAAAAAACTTTTTCGAAATCAGAATCTCACCTCAAATTGTTTCTCGTATCTCTCCTTGGTTTCGGCGTCCAACTCAGCTCCATGCTCCTCCATATACTTTGGATAATTATCGAAAATCTCCTTAAGTGGTGGATACATCACTTCCTTTGATGCCAACGTCTGCATGATCATACTCATGAATGGTTCCATTGGAGAATTCGGAGAGCGAAGCATATCCAATCCAGCCATGAATTCTTCTGGATTACTGGCATTTGCCACGTTCGAGGAGCACTCCATAAGCTGTTTCAACGCATCCATCATAGCCAGGGCTTCTGGATCATTCGGATCGAAATCCGGTTGTCCTTCTCCAGTTTGTGCTTCAGTTTCCGCCTTTTTCATAGCCTCTTCTTGAAGCGTAACCATTTGTTCCAGCATTTTCTGGAAGTCTTTGGCAGCCTTTTGAGCAGCTTCCTGGTCAGCCGACGCCATCAACTCATCGAGTTCGTCGTCTGTGTTTCGTGGTGCTACTCTGAAAACTTTAAACTTTAAAAATGGTTCGATTTTTAAGTCTTACTTTGGCGTCTCGTCGAAATCTCCCAAAGTTTCATCAAGAAGTGCGCTAAGCTCTTCCGTCTTTTTATCCTCGATGTTTTGGGTGGTATGGTCGGACATTTTTACCTGAAAAAAACCTTGAAAACTAATAACGCAAAAAGAGAAAAAGAAACAAAAGGAAAAGTCCGTCGGGAAAGAGGAAAAAGATGAAGAGTGAAGAGGCGGAATAGAAGAAAAAAGAAAAAGTACTACACAAATCGATAAAACACACAAAACAGAGAGTGGAACAGAGGAATTTTCTTATCTTATCAAATAAAATAGTGTTCTCGGGAGTGTTCGAGTACACTGTATTTTTTTTATATTATGATTGATTGGGGGAGAGAAAAAAGGGAAAGGATATGTGAGCGATTATAGAATAGTCAGATGACCGATTAAGACATTGGAGAAAGTCTTTTAATAATAAGAAACACAAATAATCATCAGAAAATATGAATTAAAACTTAAATTTCAGCAAATAAAATTTATATACATGTCATTTCAAAATCCGGAAAAAACCTAGAAAATTCTGGTTTTGATGAATACATTTTTGTCTAACGAATAGTTTGAATTTCAATTTACATTTATCAATAACTAGAACCTCAAACGAAACAGCGAAATGTCGGTGAAAATTTTTAAAACAAGCGAAAATCCAGATTACATCACGAAAAATCTCAAAAAATTGGGTTCGGTGGAGCGCGTTTGCGAAAGTTGTTGAGTTTTTTTAGCGGGAGTTTGAACAAAAAAATTGCTGAATAAAAGGAAAAAGCTCTTGTTAACTATGAAAAAAAGAGTTTACACTGGAACAACAAACTGATAAAACGAAAAATTGGATTTCTGAATCTATTAAATACCAGGTGATCATCCGGGACACTGCGGCGCCGGTAAAAGGTCAAAAGAATCAAACTAGAAACATTGGACTCCCTGAGAGACGATTTTTTCATCTTTCCTCCAAATCATCAATTACCAATTTTTCGTGTTTAGATGTCTCAATTAGCATAGAATACCCACAAATCTTCATAATTCCTCTACTACACGCATCAATATCTCATCCAACCATATGCTCTTCTTCTTCTATTCCCGACACCATCCAGTAGTTTGGGGCCAGCCCTCTTCAGAATCCCCATGGGTGTGTCCTTTTCGCCTTCTTCTTCCTCACTTTTTGATTTTATCTCTTGAAGGCACACACCATAGTTTTGCCATCCGTTTAACTTTTATATTTCACTCTGGTAATTGTCTCTCTCGGAAGGAGGAACGGATTGGGAAAGAGTCTTTGGACCGCCCATCTTTGCTCCATAATCCAATTTTTCAATCAGTTGCATCGAATATCCTTCTCCTTCTTCTTCTTCGTCGTGTCGTTTAATGATTGCGCAATCAAATAAGAAGAAGGACGATTCCTCTTTTCTTGTTTTCAAATTCTCACTTTCGTGATACCAAGCATAAATCTAGGCTTCAATTTGGCAAAAGTCGGTGGGAAAATAAAAAGAAAAGCGGTTTTTCACAAATTTGTCTTTTTTGGAATTCTGAAAAATTTTCAATTGCGCTTAAAACTAAGCAGTTTTTCAAAAAAGTTCGGGTTTTAAAATTTTTAAAACTTCAATTTCTGAATTTCTGAATTTCTGAATTTCTGAATTTCTGAATTTCTGAATTTCTGAATTTCTGAATTTCTGAATTTCTGAATTTCTGAATTTCTGAATTTCTGAATTTCTGAATTTCTGAATTTCTGAATTTCTGAATTTCTGAATTTCTGAATTTCTGAATTTCTGAATTTCTGAATTTCGAAATTGAAGAATTTCAGTACTTCAGAATTTCAAAAGTTCTGAATCTAAAACTTTCAGAACTTCAAAATTGAAATATTTCTGAAATTCTGAATTTCTGAATCTCTGAGTTTCTGAAGTTCTGAATTTCTGTATTTTGGAATTCAAAATTTGTTTAGTTCGACCAATTTTTTTTATATTTCAAATTTACTTCAGACTCTTTCTTGACTTTTTTGCGGAGCTAAACAATGTTTAGCTCAGTTTTCAAGATAAAACTGACAAAAGTAATCTATTATGACTCCATATAACTTTATTATTCCAAAGAACTGTTTCTCGCATCTGCAAAAACAAAAAATTAACAAAATAAACTACCCCTGACTCGAACCCTGGCCTTCAGATTATAGTGCAAAAGCGCAACCGGGTAGACCACATAGTCACTTGTAGGAGAAAAACGAAAGTTGCTTAGCATCTCGGCCTTCTGTTCCCAGTCGAAACGACGGCGTCGCGCCACAAAAAATTGTTATCAACAGTGAGAACATATGAGAGGAGGAAAAAAGAACATGATGACCATATCAAGTCTTCATCAACCCCCAATCCATCACCCATTTTCTCTCGCATCTCACATCTTTTCAAAATGTCCTTCACAAATCGGCGCCACACCTCTTTTTTATTGATGGACATATCCTGATCCTCCTCCCCAATTTGCCTCGTTTTTGCCTCCTAATCGACAACAAATTACCTATTTTCTCTTCTTCGTTTTTTGATATTCCGTTTCAGGGAATAGTTTGTCCAGTTCCGCCGGCCGAACCCCTAACTGGTTCTCTCCATTTGATCCAATTCAATTAAACATAGAGACAGATCACCGTTCCATTTTTCTCTTTTTGGTAAATCTATATTGGTAGTGAATTAGTCATTCTCGCCATTTTCTTCCTGCCTTCCTGGGGGGTCATAGTGAATGAGCAAACAACGACCAAAAACTCTTTTTTCTTCTCTTATTGCTTTCGCTTTTTCGTTTTGACACCTAAGTAGTTCCCACACTTTTCCTGCCGGATGGACAAACATTCTTTTTCTTTTTCATTTTCTTTTCTCGGTTATTCCTGAAATACACACTTTACATTTACATTTCTTCCACGTCCATATAGCTTCTGTTTTTCATTTTCATTTGTTCCCTTCGATCAGCTTCCAATTATCGCGCGATACGGTACGACAAGCTGCCACAGTTCCATCAGTGCTCGCGTGTTTTAAGCGGTTACACTTTTGCCCTTAAATATAATCACCCCAGTTCAAATCCCCTCGGTGGAATTTGCTTTTTTGCACTCTTTTTTGTTTGTTTTGAAGTATCTAGAGCTATCTAGAGCTGTTCATAGATATTTTGCCAGTCATCCTGGAACAGTTGTTCTTTTCTGTTGACCCCATTGATCCTTTACACATCTATGAAACTTTCCACATTCTATCACTGATAGGGGTGTTCAAAAAACATTTGGTTTTGAAATTTTAGGCTTTTGTTAACCTGTTTTTGAAATGACTCAGTTTTCTGATTACTCATTTTGTATCTTTGTTTTTACACTGATATTCTAAAAATTTTTATATTTTGATAATCTGAAATTTCGAAGTTCTGAAATTTTGAAATTCTGAAATCCGAAATGTTTGATGTTTTGAAATTCTGAAATTCTGAAATTTTGAAATTCTCACATTCTCACATTCTGGAATCCTGAAATTCTGATATTCCGAAGTTTCGAAATTCTGAAAGTTTTAAATTCTGAAAATTTGAAATTCTGATGTACTGAAATTCCGAATTTTCGAAGCTCTGGGATTTTCTCTGGAATTCTGAGTTTCTTAAATTCAGATAATCTGAAATTCTGAAATTTTGGAAATCTAGAATTTTTTATTCTGAGATTTTGAAATCCCGAAACTCTGAAATTCTGAGATTCTGAAATTATCAGATTCTCAGATTCTCAAATTCCAAATTTCCGATGTTCTGAAAATCTGCAATTCTGAAATTCTGGAATTCTGGAATTCTGAAATCTGAGATTCTGAGATTCACAAATTCCAAAATTCTGAAATTCTGAAATTTTGAAATTCTGAAATTCTGAAATTCTGAAATTCTGAAATTCTGAAATTCTGAAATTCTGAAATTCTGAAATTCTGAGATTCTGAAATTCTGAAATTATGACGCGTTGAATTTTGAATTTTCGAAATTTGTGAGATTCTGAAATTTTTGAAATTTGTGAGATTCTGAAATTTTTGAAATTTGTGAGATTCTTTCCAAAAATTTTGAAATCTCAGATTCCCTAACTTTTATTCCTTTTGTCTTCCCAAAAAGAAAACCAAAATTCTTCTACTTCATCATATACTTTCTCAAAAATAAGTAGCCCTCCAGGGACCATATAATATTCAGCCCTTTTTTGATTTTCGAAAAAAAGTAGAACTTCCAAAAAAAATTTTTTTGAGAGTTTTTTTGATTCCAAAGTGTTACATCCATCTTTCTCTTCCTTCAAAAACTAAAGCAATCGAAGTTGAGAAGAAGGAGAAGAAGAAGACGGACGAAAAGTGTACACTATGCATCTTTCGCCAACTATTTCTTCCCTATTTCTTGTGGAAAAAAAAGGTAAAGCATTCTGTAACAAACTTTAATATCATAAGCTATTATAGGTTTATCACCTCGTTTAACATTTCGTTTCTAAACGAATCCTGTAGTCACAAAACTTTTCTTCTGATTTTCAAGTTTCTATTTTAGGGTTATGTTTTTTTTTTGTTGGTTTTTTGGGTTTTCTACAGAAAATCTAATTTTCAATTTTTCAATTTTTGTTAACATNTGATACGTTTGGCCCAAATAACGTAAGCCCTCTAATTGAATGACTCCCGTTCCCTAACTTCCAACTTCAATCCAATATATCTCGTTTCCTTTTAAAGACATCAAAAAGTGGTCAACTGACAAAATATTACTGATATTATGGTAAACATTTTATCAGTTGGCCATTTCTTGATATCTTCTGCGAGAACTGAGATAAATTGGCTCAAAATTGACGGTTTAAAGAGCCATTCTATTATAGTGTTCACGGGAAGCCTGGAGTTTTGCGAGTTAGAAAGTATTTAACTTTGAAAAATCTAAACGGAACGATTTCTGGAATTTTCGAAAATTCTTTTTTTGAAATTGGTAACCCTTGGAAAACGAAAAATCTCATGATTCGATATTCCTTAAAACCATTTTCTTGAAGGTTCATGTAAAATTAGGCCAAAACTTGAAAGTATTTTCAAACTGGCAATTTTTTTTATATTTCCAAAAATCTAATTCAAGTAAACGGGTTTTTTCAAGACGACATTTTT